CTACATTCTTAGTGCTGCTAATCCAAAAAAGAATGGCTTTCCCAACAGAAGTCCTAAGGAAGCTGGGATCAGGTCAGCTTGGGTCACTTGCCTATCCCTGAACTAATAAAAATGTCGAGGAACATGTACCACCATGACTGGGATTGGCAGCCCCCCTAGGACCATAGGGAATGGGGGCACAGGGAGGGCACATTAATTCAAATGAAACAGAGGGAAGGGGAACTCATCCTGGATGTGACAGACCCTAACCATGGCTTCCAGTGCATCTTTCCTCCCCTGACAATGGCCCCGGATCCACCTGTATGACCTCGCCTGGTTCAGCCCTCAAAGATTGCATTGAGGCTCCAGAGTGAAGCCTGTATGGAGAAGGGGTATAAGGGTTCAGTGAGAAGGAATGGGGATCTGGGTTTTCTTCCTTCCTTCCTCCTTCCCTTCCTCCCTTCCTCCCCCTTCCTCCCCCTCCTCCATTCCTCCCTTCCTTCCCCTTCCTCCCTTCCTTCCTTCCTTCCTCCCCCTCCTCCCTTCCTCCCCTTCCTCCTGCTCCTCCCTTCCTGCCTTCCTCCCGCTTCTCCCTTCCTTCCTTCCACCCCTCCTCACTTCCTCCCCTTCCTCCCTCCCTTCCTTCCTCCCCATCCTTCCTCCCTCCCTCCTTCCTTCCTTCCTCCCTCCTGGCTCCCTCTAGTCAAATACCTGGGCTTTAGGGAAGTGTCATAGAGAATTTGGACTCAGAGTCTCTTGAACCTTGGCTAACTTACCAAGGGGGAGGAGTGGAACCAGTATTGTGGGCCACATGGTGGAAGAATGAAGCACCGTAAGGGTAGGGTTTTTATTCAAAGCTCTGCCTTTCCCTGCGCTCCCTGGCTGTGTACAATACTTAGTTTTTTAAAAGTCTGCTGCACTTCTCTCAGAGGCCACCAGAGGGCGCACAGAGCCCAGCTTCCCTAATAACAGGGTTCACAGATAGGACCTGCAGGACATCTGGGGGAACTCAGAGAGTTGTGGGCAGGAGAGCGTAGGATGGAAAGGAAGTAAAGAGACCCCCGGAGAGCTCGGGTCAAGCTGCTAGGGTTCCAGACTGTCTGTGACCTCTGGGCTGACCCAGATTTTAGGGCTGGGATGCCTGCCTCTGTCTCTACTGCCAGGTTCCTTGGCAGGGGGCGGGGGGCGGGTAGTGGTGGTGGTGATATGGGGTGTGTGATGCTTGATATCTTCCTCCATGTTGCTGGAGAGGGAAACTGAGGCAGTGGCAGAGACTGACACCACCCCAAGCAGGTTAAAAGGAATTCAGTGGAAGAAGCATGATACTGTGACACAAGGCCTGGGTCGCTAGCTTGACCTGGGTCAAGTCAGTTAACCTCTCTGAGCTTCAGTTTCCCCAGAATGAAATGAGGTTCCTGATAGCACATTGTGAGAGTGCTTGCAGTCTTTAAACTGGCACTCACGTGTTAGCATCCATCTTCTGTGACCAGTAGAGACTGGGAACTCCAGCAAGAGTCTGGGAACTGCCTTCTATGAAAGGTGAGAGTGATGGCCCAGGAGGCACCGTTTTAACAATTATCCTGGTCCTCTTTAAGCTCAGAGATGGCTCTGACCTTTTGCACTGCTGCCTGGGAGGGGGGCTGGAAGCAGAGCTCAGAAATACCCCATCACCCCAACCCCCCTTGCTCACCCAGCTGCTCAGCCCCAGGCACAGTCTGAGCCGTCGAGGTCCCCCGCTGGCTGAGTGGTGGGGGAATGTGGAACTGGGGAGTTGGGGGAAGAGCACAGAGGCACTCCAGATGTGTGCATGACCACATCAGGAACAGTTGGAACACAGGCAGATGGGTGGGGAGGCCGGGAGGAAGGCCTAGGATCAGCCCGAGGCCGAGGGCTCAGGAAGCATTTCTGTTTCCTTTCAGTGACCTAACATATAGGAGTTTGGGAGACTGGAGCCGTCCTTACCTTGCTGAGGGGCCATGGTCCCTGAGGCCTGGACAATAGGACAAAGAGCTCCCGTATCAGTCTGGGGCTCCTTCCCTCTCTTCTTCACGAAGATAACCTTCTCTGGCAGAGCATCAGGACTGAGGCCGGGCTGGGCTCGGCTGGGGCAGTGAGGGTCCCACCTGTTCTCATCCTGGTGCCTCCCTAGCCCTCCCTTCCCTGCAACCTCCTACAGAGCCACCACAGCTGGAACCGTTCTCCGCGCTCCCTTTCATCCCTGGTGCTCCCCCCCAACCAGTGGCCCCTGTAATTGTGGTCTCAGGCGGTGGCTGCAGGGGCTGGGGCCAGAGCCCAGGGCAGGGCCAGGGCGGGGCCTGGGGGCTGCTGATAGGGGCTTGCCCATGGCATGGGTCCTCTGGCGCTGGGGATCCTGCTGCAGACACTCTGGGCTTCATCTTCACACATGCCAAGGCCATGTGCCTACATATGCCCTCACCTCCCTGGGCTGAGGTGAAGCGCTCCAGATGGGCACTCCCGGACCCTCATGACATCAGGCCAGTACCATGCCTGAGTGCAAGCAAGGCTTGGGTATTGTTTACTTCCTGGAGTTTTCAAAGAAAGGGTCTTCTCCCTCTCCCTTCCACTTCTGTATTTCATGAACAGTGGAGGGTAGGGGAGCAAAAAGACCATCCCTCAGCCGACAAAGGCCAGAGGAAAAAAAAATCAGCCACTCAGCCAGGTCAGTAGCATTTCCCAGATGTGGTCCTCAAGAAAATCACTTGGGACATTGGTTAGAAATGCAGACCCCTGGGTCTTGCCCCTGGAAAGGCTGAGTCAGCTGCACGGGCCCAGACTCAGAATTTGCCACAATGGCCTACCCTAGGGGATATTTACATACAATGTATCAGGTGTGGGAAATGCAGAGCAGTAGATGCAGATTAAGGAGGTCTGCCACCTGAATTATGAACTCATTCCCTTATCACATGGGGCCTGTTCCTAATCCTTTCTGGGCCTCAGTTTCCCCAACAGCCAATGGGAATTTGACTCCCAAGGCTGGCTTGTCCCTGCTGGTGCCCTCTACCACTCTGGGCTCATGCCTCCTTCCTGGGTTGAAAGTGGTCCTGCCCTGCCCCTCCCCATACCCTTCCCAAACTCTAGATCCAAGCCATCCCTGTCCCTGCATCATGGTGGGGGAGAGTGGGGAGGGGAGGGGGCGGCTGGGGTCAAACAAGGCTCTGGCTGACGCAGACTGCTTCCTGCCCCCCGGCTGTTTTCCTGCTGTCCAGCCAGACTGCTCCCCCCACTGCTCCACCCTCACCCCCAGCAGCCTCAAGCCCTTAATTCCCGACAGCTGCGGTGGCTGCCAGCAGAGATGGGGGAAAGGAGGGGGAGTATGCCATCAGCCTGCTGTTGCTCAGGCCGCCCCCATCACCTGACAGTCTGGGGACAAGGAAGGCCCCACCCCTCTCCTTCAACTGCCCAGGGATGGGCAATCCCAGGAATGGGCCCCTTTTGTCTCAGAGCCCAGAGGCTCTGGTAGTTTATCCTTACACCAGGAGGGGCTCTCTTCAGAGAGAGGGGGCAGTGAGGTTGGGAAGGAGGTGTATGTGTAGAGTGGGAGGTTTGTGCCCATTTTACAGAGGAGGATGTCAAGGCCACAGTGGGAGTAGGTTTCACTATCAGGGCCCAGGTTAGAACCAGAAACAGAAGCTGGAGTCTCTGTCCCCAACCCTCTGGCTCTCAGACCCTTACCTGAGTCTAGTACACTCATCCCATATCAAGGTGAGCCCAGTGTTCAGCTGGCGTGTGAGGGCAGAAAGGGATCCCAGAGAGGAGTGGGTCTGAGCCAGGAGGCTGGTGTTGGGGAGCTCTCAGAGGACCAAGTGCAGCTGGCAGGGCCAAGGTGAGACCTGGAGCATCTGTAGGCAGGGCCCAGGCAAGCGGTACGTAATGCTGGGGCCGCTGCTGCTGTGCTCTCACTGGGTTTGGTTCCAGCTCTTCCACTAACTTGCTGTGAGAACTTGAGTAAGTCATGACCCTCTCTGAGCTTCAGTATTTTCTTGTGAAATAAAAGGGGACATAATAAGATGACCTTGAAATACACTTTTAGGATTAAAAGGCTCTCTAATCCCTCCTCCTAGGGTGTGCCACCCCGGGGTGCTCTGCTCCCAGACAAGCATTCACTGATGTCCCAGTAATTTTACCTTCATTGGCTCACTGACTAGATGAGGTTGGGCCTCATTAACCTCATTTCACAGAGGCAGCGGTGGCTCAGTGTCCAGGAGGCACCTGTTGTAGGTCACACAGCCAACAAGAGCAAGATCCAGAGGCTGCCAGACCCCTTTGCAGGATCCCACACCTGCCTCGGCAGCCAAGCCTGGGAAGTCCCTCCTGAGGTGGGGGAGGCGAGCAGAGGGCCAGCCCCTCCCCCCCCAGCCCCTGCAGGTGTGTATATTGGGGGGGGAATGGCTCCCCAGCAGCTGCGGCTCAGCCAGGCGCACACACCTCGCAGTAACACGCACCTTCCCACACAAACCAGCGAGCCGGCTCACCGGCACCGCCCTGCGCCTGATCGCACAGACCCCAACACCTCTCCTGCCCCCCACCCTCCCCACCACCGCTCCCGCCCCGAATCCTGAGCGGACACAGTGGTCTCGGGACGAGTACACGCCTCTACCCGCCCCCCCTCGCCCCGTCGTCATGACGTCACGTGGGGTAGAGCCCTGAGACACACTGCGGGGGGGCGGGGGCGAGGAGGGGAGGCGGCGGAGCTCCCCGAGCCGGGACAGTCACTCACTCACTGGGCGGTGGGGCCGGGCACAGACAGCGCCGCCCCCCCCCACCCCCGCCCGCCTTGCACGCCCTCGGAAGCGCAGGCTCACCGCGCTGTGCTGGGGGGGCTTCCCGGCACCCCAGCCTCTCGTCCCTCGCCCGCAGCACCTCCGGGCCCCCCCTTACCCTCGAGAGGCACCGGGAGTTGTTTCAGGGGGCCCTCGGGAAATTCCCCGAACCCCTGTGCGAGGAGG